TCTGCATTATGAGACAGATTCCTTTTATTCACAATTTGACACCTGCTATTTTGATTGCTGTTCTTTAGGGTTTGGTAAATTTGTTCTGTTTTAACAAAGAGTCATTTTAAAACTCTTCACTTTTTAAAAAAACTACTTGTCAAAAAAAGGAAAAGAATATGTGACAATATAATTAGATGTTTAAACCTGCTCATCAGGTCAGAGGTAGGGATATGCGTGTGTGATGTTTTCTTTATCCTTACATTTTTGTACAGTGATTCAGTATACTCCTTTTGGTGATAAAATATACATAACATAAAATCCACCATTTTAACCATTTTTAAGTGTACATTTCTGGTGTTGGCTACATTCAGTTATTTTTTCTTCTGCTTCAGTATACTTTTTCCTGAAATTGTTATGTTAAAATAGTTCATAGTTTCATGATTGAGACCCAAAGCTGTGTGTGTATTGAATGGCAGTGTTGTGTGTTGTGAAGAATAGAGATTTTGTTTGTTGAGTTTTTGTTAAGAAACTTGCAGCATATCCAACTAAACTGGTCATAGAAAGAGAAAAACCAGTGGGAACTTAGGAAAACAAGCTTATTAGTTTGAATGTATGTGTGTTTTGTTCAATTTTAGTTTAACAAAATATGTTTAGGGAGCTGTAAAGCCTTCACTGCTGTATAGAAATATCATTTAATTATGGTTCCTAATAGTAGATAAGCAACAATGTAACAAATAAATGAAAATTTAAAAATATTTGTACATTTCCCCCTAATATTTTGAAATTATTTCTAAGATTTGAAGTCAACCCTTTCATCATGAGATTAGATAGAAATAATCTTTATGGTATGATATAGATATATTAGAAACAAGAATATAAGAATAAAACATTTGTCTATGACATTACTATTTATGAGACTTGTTGATTCTGATGATTAAACACTTTATATAAAGTATAGGTTAAATTAAGAAAATAATAGATCCAAAAGTATTAACTGAAAATGTTAAGAGACCATATAAACAAAATTTGGTTTATTTATTATTATTATTATTATTATTATTATTTTTATTTTGTTAAACCTCACTGGAGTGGAAGGGAGGGGGAGACAGACAGAGAGAGAAACATCTCTGTGAGAGAGACACATTGATTGGTTGCCTCCCGCATGCATCCTGACCAGGGCTAGGAATCAAGCTTGCAATCTAGGTATGTGCCATAGGCCAGGACACTTCAGTCCACAGGCCAACATTCTATTCACTGAGCTAAACCGGCTAGGGCTATTTATTTTATTTTTTAACCTCTTTAAAGGTGATACCTTTTGTGAAATGATAATTTGGAAACTTAAACATAGAATGTTAGGAAATAAGATTGAGCTCCATGCCAGACTTATTCTTGGACCCCCTAGAATATGAGGCTAAGCTTGAATTTAGGGGACCTCTCACAAGATGCTGTTCATCCTAATAAATTTAAACTTTTTGGAAGCTGCTCTAAGAGAAATGTGGGGAGGGAATTGGTACTTTAGCCTTTCCCCTTAATTCTAGAGTGAGAAAGTTTAGCTTCGCGATAAGTAGGAAGCTCCCACACTTTATAAAAATCTTTTGGATAGGCCTTCTGATTACTGGAGACAATTCAATCATCTCATAAAGCTCACAAGAGCATGCCTGAACTGAGAATAAACTTGGTTTCTCTTGGAAAGTGCAAAAAGTGCCTGTCTTCTCAATATACAGATAACTGCAATGGGTTTGTTCTCATTTCATCATCCAGTATGTTTTATATTTATCAACAAGGAAGATTTTTAACCAGATGTCAACTTTTTTCAGTTGGGGATATCCTTTGTCTGTTTACCTGAACAGTCTTCCTTCACCAACAACCTACCAACATCTTCTTGAGGGTAAAAAATATTTGAGGGTATGGGGCTTGGCAAAGGGGCCATGGTGGCGAAGATGCTCAGAAGGAGATTTGTAGTCATCCATCCTCCCTGTCCATTCTGACAGTTTCATTTTCCCTCCTCCTGACTCTTCAGAGCCATTGCATAGTCTGATCCTGAAAGAGCAGATCTAGAGGAAGCCGAGTCCTGAAACTCTTCTAGCATATTTTAAATAGAAGTAATCTTGGCTCTAGTCAATAGCAGACAAGCTAATTATTAGTTCACATGTGCTATGATCAGTTTTTTGCTCATTTGGGGCTTTGTAATAATTTTGGATTTTGTCCTTTGTGAAATGACAATCTCAGATCATATCTTTTCCACTGGTTCCAAGTTTTAAGGCATTTTTGGGATCCATTTTATAATCATGCAGAAGTTGTAAGTCAAAGCAAAAAACGAGTGTTATAATAAGGGCAGGTGGATTCTTTTGTAGGCTAGATATAAGACATTCATCTCTGGGAGGCTTAACTTACTAGGAGAGAAAATGGCTTGACTTAAGGAGATTTAGGGAGATCTCACCACAAAGAAGAGAGGCTTATAAGAAAAATCTCTTCTGAAAGCAGGAGTTCTGTTCTCATAAACAAATGGTGGCTCAAATCACGAGTAGAGCGTCAGACAGTGAAGGTTGGCATAATAACGCATAATAGTGCACAGGGTACAGGAACTATATACGTGCACTTAGAGGAACACTAATTTCCCATCTGAAGTTTGTTAGGAACTATTAGAGGTTTTATAACTCTGTTGACAATAATCTTATTTGGAACATGACCTGCTTACATAAAAATAAATTTTAATGTGAAAGCTCTCATTAGCTTAAATGACTAGTCAAATGGTAGCTCTAAAAGCTGAGTCACCGTCTAATTTACCCTTACAATTCACAGTTTCCCTCTCAAGTTTACTTGCTAGATTAATCCCATCTCAGCAGTGCCATTAGGCGCCTGCCTTGATGGTGTGGAAAAATACACACAAACATCTGATATTCCCGAGCGTGTGGGTTGTGACGAATTTAAATGTGTTCTAACAGCGCCTCTGCGTATAAACAGTTGTTTTTAACTTGAGGATGAGGAATTTGGCCACGATGGGATAATTAAAAATAACAACCCTCTGGAAAAGCAGGAGCAAAGTTCTTTAATGCCAGGGCTCCGAGAGGCAAGAGTCTGTCATCTACATTGGGTAGTTTATATCTTTGTCACTTTAAAAAAGGTAGGTATTTGAGTTCATGGATCAGCCCACCAACATTCTACAACTAAAGCAAAATTTGTTTCCTTTTCACGGGCAAGGTTGTAGTTAATGGACTAATAAATAATTGTGCCGTTTCCCAAGTCACTGGATAGGGAGGTTCTTACAGGCAAGACCACAATTAAATGAGGCCTTAGTGAAGAGATTCTAACCTGTTGTAAAGGATGTCGGTGAAGGAGGCAGCCTGGACTACTTTGGCTATACTTTTCAGGACCATGTGGCTGTTTTTAAATACTTTTAGTTTATTACTGAGCATTTGTCTTAGATGCTCAGAGGTCAGAATGAATAATTTTTTGATAATCTCCAATGTCCCGGTCTGTGCCTACTGATGGTCCTCCAATGACCACATGTATGAGCAAATGTTCCTCTTCCTTCAAAAAGAATGACCTTAGAAGCACTTACAGTTTACAAAGAATGTATGTGCATTTTCTCTCTTGAGTCTCATAATAACACTCCATTGTGGAGAAGGATTATCCATTCCTACTTAAAGCAGAAATAAAGATTCAGAGAGGGAAGCTAAGTGACTTACAAAGGTCATACTACTGAGTGGAATAACGACAATTGAGACTAGTTATTTTTGCTCCTTGTGCACTCTCCTCTTTATATGCTTACAAAATTGGGCACTATAAAATGCATGCAGGTGCTTTTGGGAAGTTTGTTCCTGGGAGAATTATCTGAATTGACGATGTGGTTGGGAGCGTTATTAACTTCAGTTCATGGTGTGAACAGAGGAACGTATAAAGAAATACCCTGTTTTAAGTGGCATGGGTCAGATGCTCAGTGCCAATGAAGTGGGAGTGATAGACACAGTGGACGGTCTAGGGCTCAGATGATGTCCATCATCTCATAATGAAGAGTATTCAGAGGACTGGACGTACAACTTAGGAACGACAGTAAGAAGGCCTAGATACACCCAAGGGGGAAATAGCCACAGGAAAGAATTGACCTGTATAAGATACACTAATCTGAATGGTTGAAATGAGCATGCTGTGTAGGGAAGGGTGAAATGGGTTGAGGAGACCGGGTTTCAGAGACTTAAGTTCCAAGCACACTTACAGGACTGGGGAAAGGCAGGATGCACGTGTTCCCTGTGATAGCTATGGCAGAAGGCTTTGAGACTTAACTTCCATTGGAAGGACCTTACAAGTTAGTGGAGCTAGTCATGTAGCTGCTTGGTTCTAAGCTGGGGCTCCTAACAAATAGCAGTAGACTGAGATGCAGGTGCAGTTCTCAGAATGTTCATTTCAATTGTGTACCTCGGTCTGAAAATTCACTCAAGCGGGAGCTATTGTCCACTGTTAGCTCTCAATCTGGCTTTCAATACCCTCATATTCTTCAAAATAGTTTGAGGGAAAAAATAATCCTTAGTTAAGCTATAGTGTAAGCCCTTTTTGTAATGTAAAATATGTTAAGGTTAAAATCTTTTATTTGAACTCATTTTATGTATACAACTTAAGTGGTTGCTAAGTACAAATAAGGAAAACTTTAAAAAGAAATCCAGCTCTATTTCTTTCACCCACCTACATGGACTCAGCTAGGTTGTCAAATTGCCAACATGTAGAGTTTCTTACGAAATTGCTTTAATGAGCAAATGAGTGATTTGCAGTTAGCTTAATAGTGCTTGATTTTACTTCAAAGAACACGCAGGCATTTGAAAAATAAGTATTTTTTCTGAACCGAATAGCATCAATTTTCTCAGCAGTCCTTCTTTTCTGAAACAGCGGAGAGGAACATTCTAGGCCACCCTCCGTCCAAACAACCTTCATATCTGAATGGAGTCTGAGGAGTCCACAGAGTGTTGCTGAAGGTCCCTGTTTTCTAAAGGCCATGGCTTCATTATTTCCCAATTATTTTGCAGGATCCTGCGAACCAGAAGGGTGGCGGCCGGAAGAAGACCGTGTCCTTCAGCAGCATGCCGTCGGAGAAGAAGGTCAGCAGCGCCAGCGACTGTATCAGCTTCATGCAGGCCGGCTGCGAGCTCAAGAAGGTGCGGCCCAACTCGCGCATCTACAACCGCTTCTTCACCCTGGACACCGACCTCCTCGCTCTCCGCTGGGAGCCGTCCAAGAAGGACCTGGAGAAAGCCAAGCTCGACATTTCGGCCGTCAAAGAGATCAGGCTGGGCAAGAACACGGAAACATTCAGGAACAATGGCCTCGCCGACCAGATCTGCGAGGACTGTGCCTTTTCCATTCTCCATGGGGAAAACTATGAGTCTCTGGACCTGGTGGCTCACTCGGCAGACGTGGCAAACATCTGGGTGTCGGGGTTACGGTACCTGGTTTCTCGAAGCAAGCAGCCCCTCGATTTCATGGAGGGCAACCAGAACACGCCCAGGTTCATGTGGCTGAAAACGGTGTTTGTGGCAGCAGACGTGGATGGGAATGGGATCATGTTGGAAGACACCGCGGTGGAGTTGATAAAACAACTCAACCCCACCCTGAAGGAATCCAAGATCAGGTTAAAGTTCAAGGAAATCCAGAAGAGCAAGGAGAAGCTCACCACCCGCGTGACGGAGGAGGAGTTTTGCGAGGCTTTCTGTGAACTCTGCACCAGGCCGGAAGTGTATTTCTTGCTTGTACAGATCTCGAAAAACAAGGAGTACCTGGACGCCAATGACCTGATGCTCTTTTTAGAAGCCGAGCAAGGGGTCACCCAGATCACTGAGGATATGTGCTTGGACATCATTCGGAGATACGAGCTTTCTGAAGAGGGACGGCAGAAAGGATTCCTTGCCATCGATGGCTTTACCCAGTATTTGTTGTCACCGGAATGTGACCTTTTTGATCCGGAGCAAAAAAAGGTTGCCCAGGATATGACCCAGCCGTTTTCTCACTACTACATCAGCGCCTCGCACAACACCTATCTCATCGAGGACCAGTTCAGGGGGCCGGCTGACATTAATGGGTACGTTCGAGCTTTGAAGATGGGCTGTCGAAGCATTGAGCTCGATGTGAGTGATGGTTCAGACGGTGAACCAGTCCTCTGTAACCGAAATAACATGAGCACACACCTGTCCTTCCGAAGTGTCGTAGAGGTGATCAACAAATTTGCCTTTGTGGCTTCAGAGTACCCACTCATTCTGTGCTTGGGGAACCACTGCTCGCTCCCCCAGCAGAAGGTGATGGCCCAGCAGATGAAAAAGGTCTTTGGCACTAAACTCTATACCGAAGCACCTTCACCGTCAGAAGCCTACCTCCCATCACCCGAAAAATTAAAAAGGATGATCATCGTGAAAGGAAAGAAACTGCCTTCTGACTCCGATGCTTCAGAAGGAGAGGTAACAGATGAAGATGAAGAAGCCGAAATATCTCGAAGGATGTCCGTAGATTACAATGGTGAGCAGAAACACATCTGGCTGTGCAGGGAGCTCTCTGACTTGGTATCGATTTGTCAATCTGTTCAGTACAGGGATTTCGAGCTGTCTATGAGAAGCCAAAACTACTGGGAGATTTGCTCGTTTAGCGAATCAGAGGCCAGCCGAATTGCAAATGAATACCCAGAGGATTTTGTAAATTACAATAAGAAGTTCTTATCCAGAATCTATCCAAGTGCCATGAGGATTGACTCCAGTAACTTGAACCCGCAGGACTTCTGGAATTGTGGCTGCCAGATTGTGGCGATGAATTTTCAGACGCCGGGTCCAATGATGGACCTCCACACGGGCTGGTTCCTTCAGAACGGAGGCTGCGGCTACGTGCTGAGGCCGTCCATCATGCGGGATGAAGTGTCTTACTTCAGCGCGAACACGAAGGGCGTTGTCCCGGGGGTGTCTCCTCTCGCTCTTCACATCAAGATCATCAGCGGCCAGAATTTCCCCAAGCCCAAGGGAGCGTGTGCCAAAGGGGATGTCCTAGATCCCTATGTGTGTATAGAGATACACGGCATTCCAGCGGACTGCTCGGAGCAAAGAACGAAAACTGTGCAGCAAAACAGTGACAATCCCATTTTTGATGAAACGTTTGAGTTTCAGGTGAACCTCCCCGAGCTGGCCATGATCCGTTTCGTGGTTCTGGATGACGACTACATTGGGGATGAGTTCATCGGGCAGTACACCATTCCCTTCGAGTGTCTGCAGCCCGGCTACCGGCACGTCCCCCTGCGCTCCTTCGTGGGGGACATCATGGAGCACGTGACCCTCTTTGTCCACATAGCAATAACGAACCGCAGCGGCGGGGGCAAGGCGCAGAAGCGCAGCCTCTCCGTGAGGATGGGGAAGAAAGTTCGAGAGTACACCATGCTCAGGAACGTCGGTCTCAAACCCATAGATGACATCTTTAAAATAGCAGTGCATCCCTTACGAGAATCCATAGATATGAGAGAAAACATGCAGGTAGGAGAAATCCCTGCTTGCCTCCCTGACCCCTGCTTACTTTGACCCCACTCTTACCAGTGAACACTGTGATTTGGTAATGATCTGATTCCTCAAATAATGATCAGGAAGGTGGAATGTACCCAATACCACTGAATTAAGTTCCGTTTTGCCTGTGATAAAGCAGATCTATTTTATGTTTCTAATTGTAATGCTATGTTAACTTTGGCACTGTAGAAAAATGCTTCAAATCTATTAAATATCCCCAGTATATAACTAAACTGATAGATGGGAATGTGTATATGAAATGTGAAAAGAATAAAAAATATTACATATAAAATATATATACATACAAACACATGCATAATCATTACAACTGTATATATAAAATATTTGCCGATATGAACATGGAAGGTAATTTGAAGTCATATAAAATGAGTGTAATGCCCATTAGATTTTGTTGTTTAAATGTACAGCAATAATAAATTACTCCCCACAAGAGCAACCAAAACTAAACAAACAAAATGAACTTGTTGAAAACTATTTAGTCTTCTCTTAGAAATGTGGTTTAATGGAAAGAATATACTAGAAGATTTTTTATTAAACTCTATCCCCTTGTGATCTTGAGCAAATTATTTTAGGTTTCTCATCATCACTTTTCTTCACATAAGGTAAGAAAAATGGTAATATGTACATTACAGGATTATCATGAGAATTAGATGAGAGTGTGTGTTAATGGCCCAGTCTCAGCATATAGAAATCCAATGTTAGTTTCCTTCCTTTCATTAGTATTTGTAACCAGAGATGGCTGTAGGCTTCTTTCTTCAGTATTATTGAATATACTTATTCACTGTGCAGCCATCTGACACCAAGTCCTCACGAAGTTCCCACGACATGTGGGTTTGCGGAAGTGGCAGCGGTGTATGCAGGAGAGGCATGTTCTTCAGGGCACTTTATGTGCCCCTCTAGCTAACAGTTTACTAGTAACTCTCCCCAAAAACCCTACTTTCAAAATAGAAATCCAGCTTGAAGTGGTTAAGTAATTGTCCAGATATTATAGTGAATAAATTGCAATGTTCAGCTTTAAATCTAGAATTGCCTGCTATGAATATCCATGACCATTCATAGTTGTTAGTCATGTGATGTCAAACTCCATCCCCTCGGTTGGTGAAAAGATTACTTTTACATTATTTCACAAAGAAGTTCTAGGATAGGCTTAAAACAATTTTAAATAGCCAAAATGCCAAAAAAATAATATGGTATGTAAATCACACAAATACTTAGATTATAAGGATTATTTAAAAATAGGCTCTACTGACTTTCTGACATAATTATATAACTAATATACATCCCTATATTACATTAGTTATAATTCAATTTTATATCTAACTTCATATGTTAGAAGTAGATTTTATATATTTCTATATAATTCTTGAAATATATACATTGCATATATTATGTATTTAAAATACATATTAAGGCCCGGCTGGCATGGCTCAGTGGTTGAGGCTCCACCTATGAATCAGGAGGTCACGGTTTGATTCCCAGTCAGGGCACATGCCCAGGTTTCAGGCTTGATCCCCAGTGTGGGGCCTACAGGAGGCAGCCGATCAATGATTCTCTCTCATCATTGATGTTTCTATCTCTTTCTGCCTCCCCTTCCTCTCTGAAATCAATAAAAATATATTAAAATAAAACACATATTAAGCAGAGTTGGCTATGGATAAAGTTTTTCCAAGTGTTATTGATAACTTATATCATCTCAACATAAAGTCTTTGGGGTTACAGATTATTTGGAGCCTCATCAGTAGAGAAATGAATACCATCATTGCCACTAAATCCATGAGGCACATACAGGTTCAGTACTGTTCACCATTAATAAAACAGAAGAGTTATAATTCTTATGACTTTAAATGAATTTTTGAAAGCCCATAACAGGGCTTTTAAATGCAGTTCTTCATGAACTGTGTGTTAGCATGCGCTTCTGCCAGGTGCTTTTCTGCTGGGATGACAGAGGAATACCATTGATGGTTAGTCAAAAGAGGACGGTATTTAATAGCCTGCTACCCTGAGGGGAAAAGCTCAAAGGAGATGCACTCCAGTGTGCCGCTGCTGACGTGTTTTAATGATCATCATGATACAAATCAAGTAAGACACTCATAACCAGCCAGTGCTAATTTGTGTGACGATTCCAGGGCTCTGCGTTGAAAAGCGCGGGGTGGCCTTGGGGCATAATCTGAGTTGCTTTGTGCATATTTGTGGCAGTTGCTAGAAATGAAGGAAGATGAAGTATAACAGTGAATTGGCTCTGGGTTACCTTGGTGCATATCACAACGTTTTTGGTTGGTTATAATCCAGTTCACTTTAAATTACATGTGCATTTAAGGGAGTGCTTTTAATGAATGCACTTGTGTGAACCTAGATGTGCTGGGGTGATGTGTCACGTGGTCAGGCGTGTGATTCCGTGTTTCCTTCCCCACAGAACGCCATCGTGTCTGTGAAGGAGCTGTGTGGCCTTCCTCCCATTGCCAGTCTGAAGCAGTGCCTGTTGACTCTGTCCTCGCGGCTCATTGCCAGTGACAACACTCCCTCCGTCTCCCTTGTGATGAAGGACAGCTTTCCTTATCTGGAGCCGCTGGGGGCGATTCCAGACGTGCAGAAAAAGATGCTGGCTGCTTATGATCTGGTAGGAAGTGATGACTGTAGTTCTGATCTGTGTGTGGCGGGGGGAATCATAGGAGGCGTTTTTGAGGGACTCTAATGAATGACACTGAGTGGTTGCCTTTGAAACCTGAGTTGGGGATGGAGGCAGGGCCAACCACTTGGCTTTCCCTAAGCCCCGGGCTGTGCTTTGAGCCCCGAGCTCCACAGGCTGCAAATGGAAAATCTCTTTTAGCAAAGAATGAATTATTGATTAAGTCCTCGAAAGCATCCATATCCCATCATCTAAATAACATTAGCTGACAAAAGAGCCATTTAATTGCTCTCCCATAGGGAGTGAACTTAATGAATGCTCCTCTGTGCTGCCTTATGATGGTTGAGGAAACATATTTTTTAGGAATTTATATTTTTAAGCTAATACTATTCTCTAATTTTCCTGAATGTGTAATGGATTTATATAGCAATTAAACTTAAGAATAACTATATTTTTCCATAAAAAATGAAGTAGCAAATAACAAATCAGAAAAATTTGTAATGTGTAATCCAGATAAATAAATATCCTTAAAATAGAAAGAGTACTTGAAAATTGATAAGAGAAAAATATGGGGAAGAAAATATTACATTAGTCAGGATCAAATTCAGCTTCATGAAACTAAAATGCAAGCCAATTATGGCTTAAAAATACGAAGTTTTATTCTCTCACATAAAAATCTGGAGACCTGCCCTAACCGGTTTGGCTCAGTGAATAGAGCAATGGCCTGCGGACTCAAGGGTCCCAGGTTTGATTCCGGTCAAGGGCATGTACCTTGGTTGCGGGCACATCCCCAGTAGGAGGTGTGCAGGAGGCAGCTGATTGATGTTTCTCTCTCATCAATGTTTCTATCCCTCTCTCCCTCTCCCTTCCTCTCTGTAAAAAAAATCAATAAAATATATTAAAAAAAAATCTGGAGACCAGCCATCCAAGGTGGCACTTTGGCAAAGTTCTCAGGAACCTAGGCTTCCTCTGGCTTTCTGTTCCACTATCCCTACCCCATCCTCACGGTCCAAACAGCTGCTGAAGCTCCAACCATAGCATCTACATTCCAACTAACAGGGAGGATAAAGAGGAACTATAGGCCATATCCTTTTCCTTTGAGGACATTTCTCTGAAATAGCATAGAGCCTGGAGTTGACACAAAGACACACTCAGATGTAAAGGATGATGGAAAATGTCTTTATTTCCAAATGTTCAACTGAAAGTCCATCTTTTCTGTTACTGAGAAATAAAGGGGATAACAAATAGTTTTGGATTCAAAGGTGAACGGGCAATTCGTGTGTTTCTTCTACCCAAAAATATAATGGAAATGTAAAAACTTTTCACCTTGAAATACGTTTTACATTAAAGATATTAAAGAAATGTAGTGACATACTTCCCCTCTCCATTACATTGGCATTATTTTTTTAAACAGTACCTCTGATAAGGAAGCTAAGAAAATTTAAGATACTGCCATCCATCTACTGCTAGTGGGAAGATAAGTTGATATAATTTAAGGGGAGAACAATTTGGAAAGAGAATTTAAAATGTTTATCCTGTTTGATCTATATATTTCCTTTCCAGAGAATTATTCTCTAAGCCAACAAACTTGTACATAAATATTTAACTTTTAAAATGTCAACATAGAGGGGTTGGTTAAATAAAATATAGTAAACCATGCCATGCACTCCGTTGAAACCGTTAAAGTCACGTGATGATGTAGAGAACGCATCTCTGTTCTGTGACAAACTCTGGCTCCAAAAACATACCTGACAGTCTTTTAACTGTATTTATACGTCTACACACCTAAAATGCTAGCAGGATATTATTAGTGGTTTTAAATAAGAGGGATTTTATTTTCTTGTGTACGCTTTTCTCTATGTATTTTTGTATTTACCTAACTCTCTACAATGAACCTGAGTAATTTTCCTAGTTGAATAAAAAGAAATGTTAAGGAAGAAAAGAATAATACTTGTATTTAACCATTAAAAAAACAAGTAGATAACATTTGGGATAAACATCCTGTAATGGAAAAAGAAAATACCCCACAGAGTGTATTCTGGTTATGAATGATGGGCCCTCTTATAAACTCTGCTCCATGGTTGCAGGAGGAAAAGTTCGCTTATTGCCTATATCTCATTTCCCATGAAATCAATTTTTCATCATAAAAATGGGAACTGAAAGCTATTCAGTGAATAGGTATATTGCCATCGAAGAGGTGAAATTAGGGTGCTAGTTGCCATAGAGACAGACAGTAGAAATCACTTATTCTTCCAATTCCCCTTTAAGCGAAGAAAGAAAAGTTATTGCTGAGCGGGAGCCTGGTGCCCTGGAGCTGGGCCTGTAATGAACAGCAAAGCACTGGACGGTGGTTGGCTGTGTCCATATCACATCCCTGAGGGTCCAGTGCTGTCTGGTTTTTCAGTTTTTCCTGCTGGACATCAGCCATTTCTCATTTAGATTTTTAAAATGCAATTTTTAATTGCAGGCATAGTATGGTTTTCCAGAGCTTAAAGTAAAAAGCCACAGTGGAAAGCAGAAATGGTTGTAATGATATCTTGGTTGATAGTTGCCTATGGAGTGATTTTTTTTTTATTTTGGTAGGGATTTGAGTGGAAATGTTCTTGTACCGAATGGTGCCCTCAGCAGACTGTGCACGTGATAAAAAACACCACTGACATCTCTGTGGTTATTTCTTAAGGGAGTGGGGTGGGTAGGGACAGATGTGTATCATGATGATCTTGACCTTGAATGTGAAACTGGATTTTTACTTTCTAGGATCTGAATTGTAACGGTTGGCATCTTTCATACTCTTGGTGTATTAATGTTAGTCTTTATTTAAAGGACGTCTCCTAAGATATTCAGTAGATCCTGAGTGATCATTTAAAATCGTAAATCAGAGCATGTCACTTTCCTGCTTTAAAATCCTCCAGTGGCTGCCCATTACAACGAAATGGGAACTCTTCACTGTGGCCTGTGGGTCCATCCATCATCTGGCCTTGCCCGCCTGTCTCCCTCCTCTCCCAGCCTCACCTTCAGACTCTCTCTTCGGCTCACTCTCTGATTCACAATGGGCTTTCTTTCTTCCTTTCCTTCATTTCCTTCCTTCCTTTCCTTCCCTTCCCTTCCCTTCCCTTCCCTTCCCTTCCCTTCCCTTCCCTTTTTCCTTTCTTTCCTTTCTTTCCTTTCTTTCCTTTCTTTCCTTTCTTTCCTTTCTTTCCTTTCTTTCCTTTCTTTCCTTTCTTTCCTTTCTTTCCTTTCTTTCCTTTCTTTCCTTTCTTTCCTTTCTTTCCTTTCTTTCCTTTCTTTCCTTTCTTTCCTTTCTTTCCTTTCTTTCCTTTCTTTCCTTTCTTTCCTTTCTTTCCTTTCTTTCCTTTCTTTCCTTTCTTTCCTTTCTTTCCTTTCTTTCCTTTCTTTCCTTTCTTCTTTCCTTTCTTTCTTTTCACCAGACCAAGCTTGTTTTCATCCCAGGCCATGTTATTTGTGGTTCCTTCTGCCTAGAAGGTTCTCTCTTGCAAGGATAGTTGCTTCATATCCTTTAATTCTGAGCTCAAGGGCCATATCCTCAGAGAAGCCTTCCCTGCCCGGGCTGGGTGACTCAGTTGGTTAGAGTGTTGTGCCGATACCCCAAGGTTGCGGGTTTGATCCCTGGTCAGGACACATACAGGAAGCAACCAATGGATGCATGAACAAGTGGAACAACAAAAACTCTCTCTCTCCTCCTCTCCTCCCTCCCTTCGTCTCTCACTATCTCTCTCTTAAGTCAATAAGAAAAGACAAGCCTTCTCTAGCCTCTGTTCCCACCTGTCACTCTATCACATAACTCTGTTTTATTTCCATCATTCTACTTGGAAGCTTTGAAAAATATTTTGCTTGACTTTTGTTTAATTTCAGTTCTTCTCCTTCGTCCCTGAATTTGAATGTATAACTTCGAGAGGGCAGAGACCCTGTCTGTCTCTCTCACTACTGTTATCTCTAGCACCTAAACAGTGCTGGCATGTAGTAAGTTATCCATTTATGTTAGTTGAATAAAAAGTAAATAAAAACATCTGTTCTTGGTGAAAATAGTGTAGTTCTCATGCTACAAATTAATGTGGTAGATCTTTAAATCCCACCTGTTTACCTCTGTGACACCAACCTAGCTAAATTTTTTCCTGTCTTATCCACAAAGTTACAAACCAATAGACTAAGGTGAAACTATGGAGACAGTAAAAAGACCAATAGTTGTAAGGGGCTGGGAGAGGTAGGAGAGAGAGAGAGAGAGAGAGAGGAGTAAGTGGAACACGGGGGAGTTTTAGGGCAGAAAAACTATTCTCTGTGATATTGTAGAAGTGGATACATGTCACTATGAGTCTGTAAACACCCATAAGGTATGCAGCACAGAGAGAACCTGGATGTAAGCTGTGGACTTTACCCAATAATAACGTATCAGTACCTGCTCACAAATTGTAATATATGCGCCACACTAATGCAAGGTGATACCAGTAGGGAAAACTGGGGGTAGGGTGGGGTGAGAGGGTACATGGAAACTCTTCCTTCCTTCTGCTCAACTGTTATGAAAACATAAAACTTCTCATAAAAAGTCTTTAAAAACCTTACAGACATTAATAAGAACTTATTTGGATGACTAAGGCAGAAGACAAATCCAGGGTTTATTGCCTGGTGGTGATGGTGGTAGGGGGCAGGTATTCTAAAATGAACAGCTTGTGTGTTCAGCCTACACTCAAGTTGCCTAAATGTTTATATTTCTCAAATATGGTAATGAACTATGTATATGCCATCCAAGAGAAAAAAGTTGTAACCACTAAAAAAATACAGAAAAGAACCTGAAATCATTCTGAACAGATACAAATGTTTGTCTTATTTCAGTATCAAAAGAAACGAATCAGGAAACCAGGTAACCTACATTTATTGAAAGCCAAACTAATTGTATCAATTTATACTATTGATCAAAAGGAAATAAATGAAACTGTTCTAGAAAACATTGACCCTGAGTTCATCTACACAGAATTCTTTTCTAAATTAGGTTTTCCCGAATGACCTCTGTTGACCCTAGCCCTTACCAAACTTCTGGCTAATTTAAGATTTGGAAATATTTCCTCTTAAGGGTTTAAAAGTCATTCAGTGTTAAAAGTCATTTTAACATTAGTATGGCAATTATAATTCTACTAGAGGCCTGATGCATGAAATCCGTGCAAGAGTAGGCCTTCCTTCCTCTGGCTGCCGGCACTGGTTCCCCTCTGGCACCTGGGACCTGGACTTTCCTGTGACACCCGGGACTCGGGCTTCCCTCGCAGCCCCAGCTTTGTCTGAAGGTCATCCAGAAGGACGTCCAGAAGGATGTCTGGTCTAATTAGCATATTACACCTTTATTATTATTATAGACTAGTGGCCCGGTGCACGAAATTCATGCACATTAAAAGGGAATTATTTAGAGGAACTATTTTAATATTGCTATTTGCCCTTTCTCTATAATAGAAGTGTCAGAGATGAAAGAAAATTAATAAAATGTATATGAAAATAACTCAGCCTCACATCCCCTGCCGTCGGGCGTCAAGTCCCCGTCCACCTGTGTGCGCTTTGCCATGCATGTAGTTCCGCCCACTCGAGCCTGCCCTGCACGCAGCCTCCTGCTGATCGGTCATTACGGCATGAGGGTGTCATGACCATTTGCATATTAGACTTTTATTATATAGGACTGTACCATCTGTGTTTAAATCAAAGAACCTAAAACTAAATATATCCGTAATAGAATAGGCTTATTTGTATGGCATAATTTCAGAAGACACCTCCATACCTCCATCCCATAGCTTATTTAAAACACATGGCTGCTATCTGCTCCATGGTACTTAAAATTTCAAAATTACAATTAATTCCTTTGAGTTAAAGATATTTTCTCTCTTTTACATGTATTTTAAAAAATGTTTTTATTGATTCCAGAGAGGAAGGGAGAGGGGGAGAGAGAAACATCAATGATGAGAGAGAATCATTAATCGGCTGCCTCCTGCATGCCCCCCACTGGGGATTGAGCCCACAACCCAGGCATGTGCCCTGACTGGTCAGCCACTAAACCACATCAGCAGAGCAAGATTTTTTATCTCTTTTAAAATGCAGAAAAAGTCTCCATGATTAATAGCACATTAGGTTATCGGTAATTTGTACCTTTGATTCTGTCCTATAAGCAAGTTTTTACCTGGGAAAAGTAAGAGATCCCAATGACAAAGGGTTCTCCAAGTCTGGGTAAGGTGAGCCAGCGATTGCTCCTGTAATTACGATTTTTCTTGGGAGCAGTCCTGTCTACAATCTCCCTTAACACACTGAATGGGTTTGTAACTATGTAAATGCCCAGCTGGTATTAGTGCAACTGAAGCAGAGGTGACTTTCCTGATATCGAACACGTGTCACAGCCAGAGATGGGATGTGACAACTTCTGAAAAGCATGAAAGCAAACTGGGAATGTTATTGATCAATAATCCAGGCAAGTAGAATAGGCCCTAAAAGTGAGCAGTGAAACTGCTGCCCCCTTGCGGGCTTGGAACTCACAGAGGAGAGCTCTGGGCGCTATAGACTGCTTGCCACAGTGCTGTCTTGGTGACTCTGGTCCTCAGGAAACTTGTTAGTAACTGTCCCAAAAACTTAATGTAAACTCAGAGCACCATTTCTGTGACTTGCCCTTTACTGCTCTGTGATTTTTTTGGCCCAGGTCTCTGAAACAATAAACGTCACTTCCCCACTCTGGACTTTCTCTAAGAAATATCCCACTGAAGCATGTATAGTAAAGGCGGTGGGAGGTACCCCATGCCCTGTGTTCCAGTAGCTTACATTCAGGACAGACGGCTTGGTGAGTCCAGCCCGGACCTAGGAGTCTGGGATTGGTGATCTGCTCATGTTCCTCACCATTTAATACACGGTCATAATGGTGGGTGACTACACTGGACAATACTTAGCAATTTTTAGCAGGATAATGTCATAATTTGTTTGAATAGGTTTGACTTTTTTCTTTCTACAATGGTGTTTTTATGCATGTAGACTGAATGTTATTTTAGAAGCTCATCTCTAGTCCCAGCCCTAACATTTTACTCTAGTCACATTTCTACATTTGATGATAGAACATCACTGGGGTGTCTAAAAAACAAACATATACCCTTTCTCTTTAGATAGCTGAATTTACTTTTCTAATGTTCTCACCTGTCTAACTTTTCATGCATAGTCAAAAAGTATTTGCCTAACATATTTGGTCCTTTAAAATGTTTTTAATTAATGTGAGAACTTTTGGACAGTTAGTGTTTGAATATAGCATTCAGAGGAGGAATGGTCACAGGGGACTGCAACTGGAAAAAATAAGCCCAAAGCATTTTCTGAAGGTGACTTCTGTGTTGACTTATTTATCATTAACATAAAAGTTAAAACTTTACTATGGTAAGAGCAACAGATTTTCTGAAGTTAAAGAAGAAATCAAAACATTCTAGAGAACGTGAGTCAAGGGTTACTTAATCTTTTACTAAGTCAGTTGGAGTGGGATGTGGAGAGCATTTGTGTTAGCACGACCAGGAATCTAGCAAAAAGAGCTAATTGCTATCTTTAATCACTCTTGCAATGGAATCAATATACTGGCAGGTATCCCAATTAATCAAACTATAATGAGTTGGGTTAAATACATTCTCTTCTGTCAGTATTATACTGAGATATATTGAGTCTCAAGATGGGAAAAAGTTGTTGGTATGTAGCTTTGCTTATTGAAATTAATTTAAATTGTAATTAGATAAGGAAAGATACTCTTCTTCCATTCCCCTCTTTCATTATGAAATATATGTGGAAATTTTGTTAATTGGCATTTCAAAAACGATGTTGGCTTGTGTAGTAATGGAACCCGGAGAAAGAACAGCCTGCGGGCATGTGCCCATCCAGAGCACGTTATTGAAAGACAAGATGTTGAACACTTAGTGCATTGAAACTTCCTTTACTTATGGGCGTGGCAATGACTTCTGACACATTTTCTGTATAACGCGGGGGTATTGTCAGCACCTCAAAGGTTGACAACATCTCCACTTGGTACCAAGTTCCCAAAGACACTAGGTATCAGAGACATGTTAATAAATATTTCGGGCCAGCTTATTGTGGGATATTGTGCCTGTATCCTCAAAGTTCACTTTACTTTCCTGGATATTCACGGTCTTGCAACACTTTTAGTTAAAGGCAGTGTGGGGCAGTCCTGCAAATCTGGAGAAGGTTCATGAAGGTTAGTCACCTGGTACTTTTATGAATTAGCTAAATTTTAATCATAGCTGGATAAAATCAAACATTTCTAATGATTAATCAGTAGATAGCTGACAACTGTTGGAAATAGAACAACTGGAGAAAAAAGCAAAATGATCCCTGTTTTCAGAAAGCAGCTCCTGGGAGCTCCTGTTGCTATCATGATGTGGAGGCAGGCGTCCTTTAGCCTGCTCCATGCAAATCCGCTTGTCCTGCGCTGTCATAGGCCAGGCTTGGAAATGTGACTCAGAGCTGGTCCCGGGCCAGAGAATACCCATCACATACACCACGGCAGGGGGTGTCCGGTCTGCTTGCACATGTTCTGACCTGTGTGTGTTCTTGTTTCACTGAAAATTAACACCCTTGATAGAATTGACTTTGCTTAAAAACAAAATCTATTAACATAAAAACAAAATCTATTAGCATCGCTTTTATTGGACTTTCAAAAGAAATTAAAAATGAAAGTGTCTTCAGTCTAGTTAGCAAAGATAGTGCAACAGCAGTCAGATTTAAAAATGTGCCAGGTTTAATAAAATCCAAGTCTTATTTTAAGCAATCTCAACAGCTGAGCCACTACAGAACCAAAAACTAACACCCCATGTTTTGTTTAGAAGGAAGGTAAGGGATTAATTATTTCACTGTTTTTAAGGGGAGGGAACAAACTAGGTCCAGAGCAGATTGGATTTCTTTATTGACTCACACATTCTTCTGTGATTGATTTTCCAAATTTGATAACCCCTTTCTGAAAGAGCAGTAGACATAAGTAAGTGCAGTTCTTTCTAGGTTTCATAGGAAGAATAATTATGTTGGTTGATGCACGTTGCAAATTAGACTTGGAGGGAGAAGCAGTCATGGCAAAAATTATTTTCCTGATGCTTTATTAAGTGTTAGTCACCCACTTGCACTTGTAATAGGAATTCTGAACTGCAATATAATATTCATATTACAGAACAACTTATCAGCTTCAGTCTGCTCCTCAAGAATACCTGGCTTCTAGACTTAACTCTTTCACTAACTAGCTGTGTGGATTAGATAAGTCTGTTTGAGGCCCTGTGTTTTCATCTATAAAATAGGATTGCCCATGACAGTCCTTAAAGTGATTTCTAACTATACAGTTCTGTGGTTCTAGGAATTCAGATATAATCTGTGAAAGGTTTATGAGTCACGCTGTGATGGAAGTTCATCTTTTCAATAACAGTAAGTAGTTACATGGACTCTGCAGTGATCCTAGGCAATTAGTTAAATTCCCTACGGAGAAGAGCAGGAAGGACAGCCTTTTCACACAGATTGGATAGTTCAAGCTGTCTCTGAGGAAAAGCATTACTGTTTTCATTGTAAGTAAATGATTTAAATCTTAACTGATAACCTCATATACCCTCATGGAGGACATCTAATGCATAAAGTAATGCCGCCCTTTACCTGGATAAATCCTTTTAGATACAAAGCTATGGCAAGGAAATAAGATCCATTGGGAGATATGCTGTCACTGAAGCAAAGAAAAGCTCTTTGTGTTACAACAGGCAAAGGCAGCTGGGAGCTGGCTGAGACATCAGATATGCACACAGGCAACTGCCAGGTTCTATCCATTGAGCTGACCCAGCGTTGGCTGCCTGGTGTCCTGCCTACCAGCCAGGGGGTTGCCCGGGGACATGCTTCTCACCTTCTCTCCTTTGCTTTTGCACCTGGTATGTCATTTCTGTCAGGATCTGTAGACCTAGGAAGGAGATGAAACTCACATAAACCATTTTCCTTCCTGACAACTGAGATAAATTACTTAGCTGTGGAAAGGTTGAAATTGTTCATTTAAATGTGGCTTGGAAGTATTGGTACATTTCAGCCATCCATCTTACTTGTTTTCTCTACAACCACTAAAGTTGACAGTTGACTGTGGAAAATAGAATAAAATTATTTTTCTCAGCACAATGGAAAGTGTTATCATGGAGAAGATCAAATGCTCTTGTGAGGAAAGTGCACATGAGCAAAAATGTTAAATGCTGACAGTATCAGTGGTGAGGTATTTTAGAATGAAAGGTGTGACTTTTGCTGGCGGATTTCAGGTTTTCCTTAGAGAATGTCACAGAGATGCTCTTTTGTGTTGACGGTAAATCCCACTGTGTCTTTATGAAATGATCTGTTAGACGTGGGGGAAAAAACAAACTTCTTACAATGTGGGGTTAACAAGTACTTACTTGGAGATTTTGAAGAGAACTGGAATCATAGAATTTGTTGTATGTTTTGGTCCTGACTTCATTTTACCTCAAATAAGTAGTAAAGTTTTTTGATATTGAGTGTTATATTTTCTATAGGGATGACTCTGTTGAAAGCTTTATACTTATTTTTCAGTACTTTACCTGAATGGAAATGGAGAGCATGTAAGGTTATAGAAAAATGGAGGAGCCTGGAAAAAAAGACTAGAAACAAAAAAAGAGATTAGAGCTCAAAAAATATAATTATGGATTTGAGAAGTGATAAATAAAATATTTTATTGTGCATGCATGTGTGGGTAATAGATGTGTAGAAGAAATAAGTATTACAAAGTAAAATAGAAAAAAGGTAATTATATAAGCGCATAGGTGAATCTGGGTATATAAAGATGAATAAGGTAAGTTCCCTGCTCTACTGGAATTACAGTTTACTGGAGAAGTGGAGGGTGGGAGGTAATATAGGTAAACAATTAATTGTAATTTAAGATAGAAAAAAATTGTGAGCAGACTAAAGAAAATAGAATGTACTGGGAATTTGGAGGTAAAAGAGGGAGGGAAGGGAGAATCAGGACAGCGATGGGAGAGGGGCATTGAAGTGAGCTTTGAGGCCCACTAGGATTTGACCAGGAGAGAAGGGAATAGGACAGGGGAGAGGCAGAGACTGTAGGTAAAAAAGGAGTCGTTAGGAATGGGTTCCTGAGGGAAGCCGGGCAGAGGTGGGGCTGAAAGAAGAGGACACTTGTTCTTGGGTTGTTACAAAGAGTTTTGGGATGCAGGAAGTGTATTCTTTTTATTCTCAACACTGAGAAGACACTTAGTAAAATCCTGCAAAGAAAACTGGTCAACAAATCAATAGTGTTTTGTTTTGTTTTGTTTTTTTAAATCAGAGAATGCTATTGCATATTCTCTACTTAGAGCAAAATCAAGAGAAATGAATATTTCTTTTGCATTTGAAAATTTGTGATCATAAACCACTTGATATTTGGAAGCGATTCTACAGCATTTGACATAAAAAATGTCTTACTCAAGACTTTTCATCTCCACTTTGCATCCTACCTTGAACTAACTCCCTTCAGAATATTGAGCCAGACAGATAAACATGGAATAGTCTGATGAAATGGGACAACATTTATTGAGAATAGAAGAGTGGCCGGAAATTCAGGAACTCTTAGTTTGCCTATTGGTTGACTTTCTTTAATCATTTCTTCAAAAGGGCCCCAGTCCCTATCTTTCTGGTCAAATTTTTACCTACTATCATCTTTTCCCATCTTCACATACATATTTTTCTTTTCTTTATCTCTCTAACAGTTGCCTTATTTCCTCTACTTCACTCAGTATATTATTAAACTCTTAGACATATTTGCTTTCTACCCAGTTATGGAGGGCAGGGACAACCATTTCAGTGTTGGTACCTCAAGCTCTGTTGAGCTGCTGGCTTTGGAACCTGACCCACTTCTCATTATTGCCAATGGAGCCAGAGCCCTTCTAGAGGGACAGCCAGAACTCGGCCAACTCCAAGCTGACAACTTCATTTATACATTCCGGGACCTGACCCACTTCTCATTATTGCCAATGGAGCCGGAGCCCTTCTAGAGGGGACAGCCAGACCTCGGCCAACTCCAAGCTGACAACTTCATTTATACATTCAGCAGTCCTTGAGCTCATCACTAAGTGATTCCCTGTTCTGATTCCCATTGCTGTTGTTTCAATGACACTTGCCTTGATGTTGTAACCTTTGGGATGAGGGAGTGGAATAAGAGGTGTTCATGGATGCCATCTGAGGCTTAAAGAATGTGCATGAATTCAGCAGTTACTTGTTTGACATCCATTGTGGGAGAGGCAGGTTGCATAACTAGAGCAATCAAGGTAGGTGACTCTAGCTGTGGTGTTAAGTGGGTGGGAGTTGGAGCAGACGTCATCCTTCCCTCTCCCATTTCTCGGGGGTAAGGCCAGGGTGCCCCATTGCTGGCCGTATCATGTAGGTCTCTGTGCGCACTCTTTCCAATGAGCCAGTGTAAGGATCTCTGACAACCACCTTTCTGATGTTTGTTTTGTGACAGATGATTCAGGAGAGCCGGTTTCTCATAGAAATGGCTGACACAGTCCAGGAAAAGATTGTGCAGTGCCAGAAAGCAGGTAATCTCCGCCCACTCTCACCCTCCTGCCTCTATTCTGTTTAGAAATCATCATGATCATCTTGGCAGATTTTTTTTTTAAGTTTGTGTTCCTACTTCTAAAAGTCAAATATTTTCTGGCTTTAACTTTTTCTATCTTAAATTATAATTAATTGTTTACCTATATTATCTCTCACCTCTCTCTCCAGTTTATCCTCTGAGTTACACTTAAGTCTTCGTTTAGTACAGTGTATATATGGGGGGTGATGTCTGAAGATTTCTGGAGAGGAGGGGGTTTCTGAATCTGCTTTTGTGGGTTTGGAGCCTATCAAAACCTTTTTCTACTGATATGAAGCTATGGGTCCACACTGCCTCTTAAGAACCACTTCATTTTACAATTGGAAACATAATCCTTTTAATCTTCCGGGCTTTTACCTCATTTACTTGTCCTCATTTTAGAACGTTCTTTCTTTAAGGACGGGATGGGCCCCATGTCTGTGAGGGCCTGCCTCTATTTATGTGTCTCTTTACCCAAAGCCTGTACTTGCATTTTTCTTGGATCCATGTCCCCTTGGTCCGCACACACAATAATGATTATGATGAGGATGATGGCAATAATGACAATTGCTTGATATATATGCATATGATATACTAATCACTACATTATGTTACTTAGTCCTCATAACAACTCTGCAAGGTAATCATCATTATATCCAAACTACACATAAGGCATCTGAGATTCTGAGAGGTTGAGTGAATTACCCAAGATCCCATATTAAAATGTGGTAGAGCTGAGCTTTGCACCCAGACCATACTTTAACCAAAGAACTTATATGCATATGAGCATAGCCCATGGACACAGACAACAGTGCGAGTGAAGGCCTGGAGTGGGGTGGGAGCCAGGTGGCAGGGAGCAAAGGGGAGTAAGTGGGGTACATCTGTAATACTCTCAGCAATAAAAATAAATTTAAAAAAATTAAAAAATAAAAATGGTGCTCTACACTGACTTACCAGCAGGCTTATATGTTTCAGTTGACTGGAAGCACAAACATAATATTACCAAATACTTATTTTATTATACTCCTAGTGCCAGGCACTACTTTGAGAGCTTTATATGTGGTGACTCATTTAATCTTCACCACAATCACTTGAGGTAAGCCTTCATGTTATCACCATTTTACCGATAAGGAAACTGACTCGTGGAGTTTCAGAGACTCACTTGTGCTCACATACCTGGTAAGTGGTGGAGCTGATGTTAGTTAGCCCCGGCTTCACAGTCATGCTCTTACCACCTGCTGTTTGAGATGTTAGCACCAGGAAAGTTACTGTGGTGTTAGCTGCATTAGTCAAGGCAAAGCAGCTGGAGCAAGTAGGGTGGTGGGTCACCCCTCCCTCGAGTGGGCTGCTTCCAGCCCATGTAGATAGATGTTCCCGGTCGCAGGTCTCTGCAAGCTTCACTCTGGGAAGTTATGTACCGCAGTGGCCCTGCCTGGAGGTCATCCTTCAACAAAAGACCTTATTAGTATGCTCAAACATGTCAGAATGTCTAATCTGGAGAAGAGAAGACTCGAGTGGACTTTAATATCTTTCTTAAGATATTTAAAGGGCTTCTCTGAGGCAATGAGAGTAGACCTTGTTGGTCTGGGTCTAGGTAGCACCAAGGAATGAATCGAAATTCCAAGGAAGAGAGACTTTGGCTGGGTATCGGTCATAGCTATTCAAAGGTGGAATGAGCTGCCCAGAGAAAGGATGATCCCCATCCTTGAAGCTCTGAGACAGAGGCTGAAGGAACAGTTGATTGCGGTGCTGTTTTTCATAGTATTCAGCGTGGGAGAATGGTTGAGCTAAAAGTCACTTTCAGGTCATTCCCAAATCTGAAACATTTGGGTGTTTCCAGGAATGCTATCTTTAAAAAATCTTTTTATTTTAACTCAACATTTATTAATTACCATTGTTATAGATGTGGGCTCCAGGGCCTACTGTCAAGCCACAGGGTCCATAGGAAAAGAGAGGTATTTGCACCCATCACATATGGTTGCCATTCACACATTACACCATTTCATATGAAAGCCAGGCAGAGGACAAATAAGATGGATGTAACCTGTTGGAAGAACTTGCTTCTCACCTTCTCAGGTCTATGGCTCCTGGCTCTTTAGAAAGTAATTTAGTCTAATGCATTGATTATTGTTGTTTTTCCCCTAAGAATAGCCATTTGATGGGGATTAACAGATTGGGAAGGTGTGTTTAATTTAGGGATTTAGAGATTATAAGGACAGGAATGGGAAATTATATTTTTACTGATAATATTTTCGTAAAATGCCTCTTTTTCTTCCAATATATACTAAGAATTCTTACATGTTCTCTTTTCAAAGGGATGGAGTTCCATGAGGAACTTCATAATTTGGGGGCCAAAGAAGGCTTGAAAGGAAGAAAACTCAACAAGGCCACTGAGAGCTTCGCGTGGAACATTACGGTACTGAAGGTAAGCGAGTGCCCAGGGGCCCCTTTCCTTTGTTTCTCTCCCCATCTCGCCAGCGGGTAGAGAAGCACCCGTGGTTAAATACGGTGATTTGCATTTTTAGTAACATGTGGCCTAATCACCAGGTCATGCTCTAAGTGTTGGGGAGATGCTTGCTGGGATTGACATGCCTCTGCCCTGATAGGGCAGCGAGGACAGCACAACCTAATTCTATTGTCTGGTGTGTGTGTGTGTGTGTGTGTGTGTGTGTTTACTCACATACCACTTCTGTTCAAGTCAGTACATTTGTTCTTGTTTGTGAAAAGAATAAGTCCAGTGCTCGCTTCGGCAGCACATTACTAAACTTGGAACGGCATAGAGAAGATTAGCGTGGCCCCCGCGCAAGGATGGCACACAAATTCGTGAAGCATTCCATATTTTTTATCAAAAAAAGAAAAGAAAGAAAAGGCCAAATGTTGCAGGAGAAGGACCCAATTCAAGTGACTGGAAGAGCCTTAGCTTTAGAATAGCTGGAGCCACTTAGGGTCATGTTTATTTTAAGAACAGACTTTGTAAATACATTTATTTTTGCAAATAGCTTTGGAAGTCATTTTCCTGAGATTATCATCTGCTCTACTGAAAATTACTTTCAGGGTTTTAAGTAAAGATGATACCGGAATAATTTGTTTTTGATATTGTGATAGGAGAAAAACAGCCACAATCAAAATTAATCATTGCTGACATTGACACATACTGTGTGTCAGGTGCTGTTTTATAAGATTCATACGAATTAGCATTTTAATACAACAACCCGATACTGTCATTATTCCCATTTCACAGGTAAGAAAACTGAGGCATTGAAAACTTGCCCAAGGTCACTCAGCTGGTACATGGTGGAGCTGGAGTCTGAGCCCAGGTGGTCTGCTCCAGAGCCTGTGCCTCTAACCTGCTGTGCAGGGAGATGCACACGTTTATATGGAAGTGCTAGGGGATCTGTAAGACGTATCACAAATGTTTATTAAAAATTCATCTCACAGATAAGCCCTACTGTATAATGGGCTCTGTGCTAGGCATAGAAGATCCATGGAGAACAAAAGAGATACAGACCCTGACCTCATGGATTGACACCCTGGGGGCAAGGGGTGGGGGTGGGGGGAATAGGTGTCATTTGCCTAACAGGCAGGGAGGAGCTATGGCATTAATATAAAGAGCAGCTCATGACAGCACTGGAGTGCAACATGGCAGTGTGAACCTGATGCAAACGCTCTCTGTTCCGCAGATATTTATTTATGTGGCTTATTAATCTGCTGGTCACTGAGATATATGGAAATAATATTGAAGAAAGTTTATAATTTAATGCATTTCAGTGTGTGCCCTAAAAAACTGGGTCTCTTTTATAGATTTATGTCCAGTTGATATGACTAATCCTTTCCCACCTAACTTTTTGGCTTTATGCTAAACCTTTGCTCCTTCTGCTTTATCTTGACAACACTTTGGTTTTCCTTGGAAAGAGCTGAGGCTAAAGCATCTGACTTGTCCTCTGGGCACTTGCGTTCTAAACCAGGCAGATTCTCTCATTCAATCCCCAAATTTCAGGCGCTCACAACTCCGGGGACTCAGCACAGCCGGGAAGTTACCGGATGTCACTGTGGTGCTGTGCTTCCTAATAGAGCTTGCAAACACATTTGAGGTCTCTGCTCATGGTTGAAAGACACAAGAAGAAGGGAAAACAAGGTGATGGGCTAATGGGAAAAGCAAGAATACGGAGAGGCATCGCTCTCTGAAAGACTGAATGACAGCGAGAACAGTTACCTTTAACTGAATGGCCAGAGATATTTTAAATCATTTCATGAGATACTGCGTATGTGGGGAGGGGTGATTAAACCAGGCTCTCTGGCAGCCCATAGTGATCATGTGTGTCCCGTCCCCCCGGGGACTGCTCTGGGATTATAGAAGGAAGGGACATGGCCAGTGTCCTCCATGTGTCCATGGAAAACTCCAGTGGTGTTTCTGGTAGCTGCTGACTGTGTTGCAGTGGGAGCCAGAGAAAGGCTAGGTTTTGTCCTGAGCCAGCTCATTCAGCTATTTATGCTAATGTCTAGAAATAGGTCCCCATTTACAATAATGCATTAGCAATAAACTATTCTTTATATTGGCATTACTATCAATTATTAAACTGGCGGTCAAGGGCACAGACTCTGGAGCCAGATGCTTCTGGCTGCGTGGCCTTGGGAACATTTTCTTTTGTCTCTGTGCTTCTCCTCAGTTGGGATAGGCTAGGTTGTGCTGTGTAACAGAGATCTGGGGATTGCAGTGCCTTAAAACAATGGCTTATTTCTAGCTCGCAATGTATGGCTACCAGGGGTCACTTAGGAACACAAGCTAACGGGGCTCTATCTTTGGAAAGACTACAGTCCTAGAGGTAGGAAGCACAATTGGTTTTCAACCCTCTGACAAGTAGTGTCACATGTCCCTTCCGTGCACATTTGATTGGCCTTGGTTCTCCCTGTAAAATGGGTATAACAACAGTATCTTTACAGGTTTCCCTTAAAATTATTTAAGATGTTGTATGAAAATCATCTAGCTGCTCATTTTAAGCACTGAATGCTCCTTATTAATAATAAAAATAATACACACGTGTACAGCACTGTTCGTATGCCAGACATTGCTTTATGCTCCTTAAGTCACTCATTTATTGACTCACTTAGTCCTCACTCTAACCCTCTGAGGTGGATGCGTTGGAGATCCTGCCACGGGTGGATTACATGCACCAGTACCTGCTCCCCTTTCCTGAGGGCGTGCACATCTGCACCACTGCACTGACGTCAGGAGTGACCATTGGTTCTTCTGGACGAATAATTAAATCAATGTCAATGAGAGAGAACATCAACATCGATCGGCTGCCTCTTGCATGCCCCCTGCTGGGGATCGAGCCCACAGCTGGGGCATATGCCCTGACCGGAAATCGAACCAGGGACCTGCTGGTACATAGGTTGCCATTGAACCACTGAGCCACACTGGCTGGCTACATTTATTTTTTAAATTCTCATTTGATTTTTAAATTTTTGCCTCCTGTAAGTTTTTAAAATAATACCTGAATTTTGGCAAGCAGTTATGGTATTGTCACGCTGGCAATGTTTGGTGACTAGAACTGGGAAGGGCAAAATAACAATGATGCCGAAGTGGAGGGTGTGATTATGGTGGCAGCCGGTTTAGTCTCATTCAACCCAGCAAGCTCTAGCCTCATCTGTAACCTCAGCCGCTGCCTTTCAGTGCTTGTCATTTATCACCACGAAGAAGCAGGTGAGAGAGAATGGATGAGTCAGTTCTAGAAAAACAACTTCAGTCTCACAGGTCAGTGCCATTACCTTCACACAGAAGAAAACGCTGTCGCGCCTTGTGAAGTGAAGAGTGTCCATTTAGAAGGCTTAGCATCAACTGCTGGGGCTGTATAAGCTAAGCTGGGTATGGCTGTGTTGGGTGAGGGGTCTGAAGAGCTACTCCTAGACCTGGTTTTAGGACCTTGTTACTGTTTGGCTTATCAATGCAGAATAAATCTTTTTCTCTCCCGTATCAAGAAGGGGATTTTATTTATTTCCTCTCCAACAAGTATAAATAAGGAAGTCCAAACTGTAACAGGGGCTTCTTCTAATCCCTAATTTGGCAAACTGATTTTGTGTGTGTGTGAATTCATACTCACCCATTCAACAAACATCTAAGTTCCTGCCGGGTAGACTGTGTGCCTGGGGGTGTCCTGGCGAATAAAAACATGGTCCCCTGGGCTCATGGAGCTGGTGGTGCCGTGGGGGAGGCAGTCGTTGAAGGGCCACACGCTGCCTGTTCAGTTTGCCTGTGATGAGTGCCATGGGGGAGAGTTCTTGGTGTCCCGAGAAAGTTAATGGGCCTGACCTACTGGGAGAGACAGGGAGGTCTCCGAGGAAGTGCCTGTGGAGCAGAGAGTAACATCTCTAGCCTTTCATGGACTCCAAGCCCTGCCTTGCATCTTGATACTTGAGAGTGGTTGCCAAAACAATCTGGAAATGACAGTGAGAAGAAAACACAACAAAGGTGCTGGACCTCCTTACCTCGGCCTGGGACGTTTAAAAGGCCGGCCTGGCTCATTGAATTACCATTCATTAGCATCACTGCTCATTCTTATTAGAGGAAATCTGGTCATGAGTCATATTGCTCATCACAAGTGAATGTCATCACCAACCTTCTGAAAAGTAACCAGTAGCAGTGTTCTGTGTCCCCATAAAATCCCACATGCCTTCCCATAAAACCCACCGGACAGATTGTCGTTGCAGGGGAGGGTATTAGAAGGTTGGTTTTTGAGAGATTTCTGTGATTTAAGGTTGAAAAGATTTAGAGAGAGAATTAAATGATATAGCATATTAGCTGTATTAGTGCTAGAAAAAACAGTAAATGTTTTTTTTAAGTGTAATTAATGCATCTTTAATAATAAACAAGCCGTAAATCTAAAACCCATTATTTCAAAGGGCCCTGCTCCAACAATGCAGGGCGGCTCGGGTGGAATGTTAATGCTTCTGGCAATAAGCAGGCCGGTCACACGCTGTCCCGGTTTCTGCCTTGGGTGCCTGCATCCCAGCTGTGCCTCCCAGGAGTTTCGTAGAGAGAAAGCCAGGCTGTTGACATGATCACGGGCGCACAGACCACTCTACTTTATCTTCAGGACAACTAAATTTAGTGTCTCCAGGAGGTACACTTTTTTTCCAGATGAAAGCAGCATTTTATAATGATTCTGAATAATTCACACGTGGCAGAATCTTAATGAGTAGCTGTTACAGACCAGAGGCTTGGCTCCAACTTGTGATGTTCTAGAAGGTCTTCCTTTTCTTGCAGGATAAGGAATGTTAACTTCTGGCAATAAGCAGGCCGGTCACACGCTGTCCCGGTTTCTGCCTTGGGTGCCTGCATCCCAGCTGTGCCTCCCAGGAGTTTCTAGAGAGCAAGCCAGGCTGTTGACACGATTACGGGCGCACAGACCACTCTACTTTATCTCCAGGACAACTAAATTTAGTGTCTCCGGGAGGTACACTTTTTTTCCAGATGAAAGCAGCATTTTATAATGATTCTGAATAATTCACACGTGGCAGAATCTTAATGAGTAGCTGTTACAGACCAGAGGCTTGGCTCCAACTTGTGATGTTCTAGAAGGTCTTCCTTTTCTTGCAGGATAACTTTTCTCTAGAGAAAACATTTTCCTTTTATACACCCAGTCTTAGTCTAAGGTGAGTTTTTAGCGGAGGGGAGTTTCATGTCTTAACGGTGTTAACTACTTTCTACAATGATAAGAGAGGAAAGAAGACATCAGTAACAAGTGTTTCATTTTTTAAAAATATATTTTATTGATTTTTTTACAGAGAGGAAGAGAGAGGGATAGGGAGTTAGAAACATCGATGAGAGAGAAATATCGATCAGCTGCCTCTTGCACATTTCCCACTGGGGATGTGCCCGAAACCAAGGTACCTGCCCTTGACCGGAATCAAACCTGTGACCCTTGAGTCCGCAGGCCGACGCTCTATCCACTGAACCAAACCAGTTAGGGCAGAAGTGTTTCATTTTTAACAACTTCTAGCCCAGCGGTT